TCTGGATTATATGTCTGGTTATAAGATTATCTGTGGGAGGAGTTGGACATCAGTAGATCATGTGTTGATGCCTATTCATACTGAGATTGGTGGTTGGGGACATTGGATTCTAGGAAGATTTTCTGTTAAAGAGAGGATTCTTTACATTTACAATTGTATAAGGTCTCCACAGATTGATGCTGATATTCTCAAGGATGTGGAGTGCTATTCTGTGTTGCTTCCTACATTTCTATATTTGATTGGACTTCATTACAAAAGGGAGGAGCTCTTTACTGGTAATGGGAAATATGTGGGAAAACAACGAACGGACCCGCTTGAGGTTGTTTTTATTGATAATCTTCCTCCTCAGGAACATGGGTACGTCCTTTAATTTTATGTTAAATTTTGTTTTTTACACATTATTTTCATGTGTTTTTAATGTTTATTTTTTAAATTTTATTTCATTTTTTATGCAATATTTTATATATTATTTTAAAATGTTTTTTTTCTTTGTTTAACAGTGACTGTGGTGTTTTTATGATTGCGTTTGCTGAGGTCTTTATGAAAGGAAAGAATATCCCTTCTTCTATCGATGCTGAGTTCCTTCGTAATCGCTATGCATATTTACTTTATGAGCATGGATGCAAGAAGTTGGCTGAAGGTTATGAAAGTGAGGATCAATCTCCTGGAGTTATGCCTCCAGATCTTAAGAAGGAGGTTCATGGTTGTTGGCAGACTATGTAGTTTTTTTTTAAAAAAAACAATGATGTTTTCAATTACATCAGCTCTTTAATGTTTTGTTGCAGACTTTGGTTCATCATTTTGCACAATGTCTTATGTTACTTTTGGTAGTGATTGGTTTTTATTTTCATCATCTTTTGAATCCAGGTTCAGTTGTTTTTTTATTTTGAAACAATTAGTTTGCTGATGTAATGAAATCTGATATTTATTTTTTCTACAGAATTCTCATGTTTATATTATTTTAATTTTGCAATTAATGTTTATTTCTTACTTTTTGTTTATTCAAGTTGGTCTCAATCGCTTTTGTGTTATGCTTTACACGATAGGAATTGTGTTCATAGATGCTTGTTTAATATTTTACTTTCTATACACGTAATGGATGTTTTCAAACACAGCTACTCTTTCATGTTTATTTGTAATATTTTTTTCCCAACATTTTTTTCTTTTACAAATGTTTGTTTTTTTTATTGTTAATAATCGGTGTACAGTTTTTTTATTAGAGTAATGATTCTGTATCACTTGTTGTATTGTTTTTAAAATAATGATTCGCTGTTTTTTAAATTGATTAATGACGTTTAAATTTTACAAAACTAAGGTAATATGATTTACTTAAAGTCACCCACTTCTAATGTTCTACAAACTGAGAAAACAATCATCTTCAACATAAGTACTGAAAAAAAAAGGGGCAACATCAGACATTAAATTTCAGATAAAAAAATTAAAAACAAATACCCTTTGTGTTAAAGTAACAATAAAATTAACTTCTAAGTACTAAAAAACGGTAAATATAGTAACATAATCAAATAACGGAAATTTCCTTATAAATCCCTACTCCACATTACACTTTCCTTGTCAGTCCCTAACGTAATTTTCTTCCTTGTCAGTCCCTTATAGTATTATTCTCTTTCCTTCCTGCAACCCATATATAAACAACTATTATAATTGATGATTTATTTTACTTGATAATGATATAAAATTGAGAAGACCATATTTCTGCAACAGATCCGAAACCGCAACCACCGCCTCCCCATCCACATACGCCATCGCCTTGCAGAGAAGTGGAACAATTCTGGCCCGGCAAATCTGTAAACGTCCAAGCTTTTCATCTTGGCGACGAAACCCTCGTCCTCGCCGGAGGAGACGTTGGAGGACAAAACAGTCTGGTCGGGAAGAACGAATTCCGACGAGGTTGACGGGGATGAGGAGTACGAGAAGCAGGACGGATGAGTTGCGAACGGCACAAGCGGCGTCATGTTTGCGATTATGGATTCCTCCGAGCTCGAGGATAAGTACAAATTCCTAAGGTTTTTGCGAAAACGATGGCGTTTCAACGACGACGACGGCGGCGGCATTCGGCAATCCCCTCTCTGAAGCACGAATTTCAGGGCTTTGCCGGTTTTCTACAACGGAGCCCATGAGGAAGCGGACAGTGGACTCGAGGTCCGAGTATAATGGTCGGTTCGGGTAGGTCGACCCAGTCTTCGAGCACCAGTTGAGGATGGCGGTCCTTAGGGCGAGATTAGGGGTGACGGTGGAGAAATCTGGTGAAGACCCAATCTGCGATGGTCGGGTTGGGTCGGGCTGAAGCCCAAATCTCGACAGACGTCGACGCACGCACGCTCGAAGGTCTGGCTGGAGGAGACGATGGTTGGATTGGACATCAGGGATTTGGAGATGGGGCAGAGGAACTCCTCCGGCGGGCTCTTCTTGACGGCAGTGGCAGAGAAAGATCGGTGGAAATTGATTCTCCAACGGCGGAGCTTCTCGTTTCCCCCCATTTTCACGCCGATTGTTGTTTTTTTGCGGATTTGTGATCGGAACTTCGCCAGATTTGTGTTTTTCAAGCACTTATTTTTTTTAGTAGATTATGTATAATCAGGAAGTTTTTTTTTTTTTTTTTTT